AAAGAATGAAATAAATAAATGAATCAAGCCCTCAACAGATAAAACAAAGAATAAACAATAAGGATTTCGTCTCCAATATACTCTTATTGTTCAGGAAAAGTCTGTCCTTGCTTACATAAGCTGCACCAATTTACTGGAATTATTAACCTCATCTTGCACCACAACCGAGAGTGATTATGACATATAGCAAGGAACTGACGACACTATAGTCAATATTCTTGAGACGGGTCAACCGGAGAAACTGTCATTCAACTGCAGAAGGTGTCCAAATTTTTATCCTATATTACCATTGATTAAATTACAAATTTTCTGTTACTTTTTTTTGTCAGAAGTTTACTGTCACTTTAAGGTTTTGGGTTCGAGAATTGTGCAGACCGAGATATGAAAATGACTTCATCAAAAACTAAAATTTACAATGAAAAATATATATGCACCTGACAAGCCGGTAAGCAGACATCGTCATTACAGATGATCCTAGCACAAGAAAAGCTTCACATTCTTTTGCAGCTTGGATTGTCTTATCAGCTCTATCCTTGGGAACATTATCACCAAAGAAGACAACCTTCAAGATCACCATGCAACAAAAAGAGTCCCCTGAGACTTTATATTTCCAATGTACTTGTACAAGATATTGGAAGTGTTCAGGATCAGAACTATTGCATGAATTGATGCAAATGAAAAAGGGTGGAAAATCATAAAAAAGAAACGAATAGCGCAGGCAAGACAAGGCCATAAATAAGCAACTCTTATTCCAAAAAATGATATCACATGATATGGATAATTGTGATAAACTATGTTCTAAAATGCTTGTGCTTTCTTGGGAAAGATAATACACCAAAAAATATTGAGATACCTTAACTTTCAAAAGTAAAATTATAATCAAGTCTGCAAAGAGCATAGAATTCCTGTTTCAGTGAGTGCCATACAGCGATCAGATTTTTCAGGGATCAAGGAACCCATCATTTTTTATGCCAATTTCTATCTCAAAAAAGAAAAAGACTTTCTTTTACTTTAGTGAAAACTTTGGTCCTTTCGCATGAGATATTCTAGATCTTTAACGTGCCTATTGGTCAGGTTCACTCAATAGGCAAGCAACACTATAAAAAATGTATCACATAAATTCTCTGATAACCTGTTTCTTGTCTTGAAACTTTTCCAGCTTCTGAGAATAATATGCAAGTACTATTGATGATTCAACACTATAATAAAGATCACATATAATATGCTTGCACATCTATCCAAGGACCTATGAAAAAAGAAGAACTAAATGATTTGCATCACCATTCCTTCTAGATCTTTAACGTGCCTATTGGTCAGGTTCACTCAATAGACAAGCAACACTATAAAAAATGTATCACATAAATTCTCTGATAACCTGTTTCTTGTCTTGAAACTTTTCCAGCTTCTGAGAATAATATGCAAGTACTATTGATGATTCAACACTATAATAAAGATCACATATAATATGCTTGCACATCTATCCAAGGACCTATGAAAAAAGAAGAACTAAATGATTTGCATCACCATTCCTGACATGAAGAAATAGCTACTCTCATTCCTCTCAGTAGCTAAAATTTGAAATTCGCTAGGCAAATGTCTTACATCAGGTTTAAGCACTCCATTGCACTTTTGACACGTAGGGATGTGAAATTCCTCCTCCCAAAATTTTTCATCAATTTCAATGTCACCGTCAGGTCTCTGCTTCATGCCAAAGCTCCTTTCTGATCCAGGGTTACCATAGTCCAAACTCTCAATTGCCTCTGCCCACTGCAGTAAAATCAATTTTTACTTGCTCATTAGGCCACCATTCTGATTAATGCACCACAATGGAAACATGAGTTTGCAACCAAACCGGAGTTTACTTCTATAACTCATGAAATATCTTGAAAATTTTTACTTACTTAGGAGACAGAAAAAAAAAATTACATATCAAAGAAAGTTCCTGCGGATAAACACAGGCAGCAATATCATCCGTCACAGAGTCCCAGACTCACAAGAATATATTCAACTGCCCATAGATGACACATGTCTATGGAAGAATTTTTAAGCAATTTTCCTTTAATTTAGCGAGAACAACATAAGACATCTTTTTCCATTCTTTTTTCTAGTATAAATCTTCACCACATTCAACATTTTGCAGCCCATCCATGGAAGTCAAAGAAGTTCTTGACAACCTAAACATTAGAAGGCAAGTTTTTTTCCAAGGAGGAGGGATTAATGTAGGTAAGAACGATGCTATGCAATACAGAACAGTGTCTTGTTATTAAATTCTAGCCAAAGAGTCTCGTTTTTCGGGTAGACTGAAGGTTTATCATTGATGAAATGTGAGAATGCTAAAGTGTGTTTAGGGAGGAAGAGCCTTTAGTTAGTAAATTACAAAAGGGGTCAGTACCCATAGTCTGGGCAGATTAGATTATACTGTTATTTATCAAAGTATTGGTTGTTTCTCAATAAATTAGGCTTTTACAGGTTTCCCTCTAGAGATATAGGCTCCGACGACGATTGGAGTAATATCATTCTAGAGTTATTTTTGTAAGTGGGCTAGATTTCCGCTATTTGAATCGCATCCACTGTTGTCTCGAGCCATCAGTAACAGTGGGTCTGTTTGCCCAGAATTAACTAGTATCTGAGCTTCTAGTGGTCTGAATTTATCATGACTTCAATGTTAGCACTAAAATGCCATTCAGGAATATTGAAGAGCAAAGTTTAAAAGACAATCCTAAAATGATTTCACTAAATATAAATCAAAGGTCTTCATAAAATCCATTTCTTAAACACTAACATGACATTACATGTTAAACAGCCATTAATTATCCTCGAATAATAAACAGCACAAGACTAACCTTTGGATTAAGGGCCTTAACTTGGTCCTGAAATAGATCCCGAGGGAAGGAAAAACCACACTCTATACAAACCACAGAATATACAGTCCCATGTAATTCAACTGGGTTACTACCAGCACGGTGATGCAACCTGAAACAAGACAATGAAATTTAGTTCCACAGGCCAGAAACATCTTTCTTCGAAAAAGTTTGACGCGAAAACTGTTTCTTTCCTAATTTGCAATTTGTTTGGTACTGATTTAGATTTTCTGGGAATCATTTGAAAAGGGAAAGAAGTATTGACTATAAAACATTGATAGTCTGAGCTTTTAAAAGTTTTTCTATCTGACATATCTTAAATATTAACCTTAGAAATTTCTAAATATAGTTGTATGACTCTTTATCTGAATTGAAATCCAGGATGCTGATTTCCACAATTTAGTGTATTTTCCTCAATAATCCTTGAAACAACACAGCCCAAGAAACATACAGCTACTTGCCTATCAACATTTTGTGTAATCATACAGTTTATCCTGCCAGCTTTTTCTAGAGATGCTAAAGCAATATGAGCTCGACCAGGATGTGCAGCAGTAAACCGTCTCCACCCAGCATAACTCCTTGCCCAATATCGCCTCCGGGCCCGAATTGAACGGACAAACTCCTGTTCATCAAATGCAGCAAAAGCAGAAGTTGAAGGCAGAGCTGTGAGAATATATTATACAACATAAACAGCAGTAAATGAACTCCATCTGGAAAAGAGTTATATTAGAAATTAACCATGTTGAATTTTTTTCTTAAATTTTTTTTAAAAAAAAAGGTAATCTTTATTAAAGACATGTATAAGAAAGAACAGAGTTGAGACCAATGTCACAACGATACATCACGTGAATCTTTTATTGAAGTAATTTGCTCAAAAAATATCATGTGCCGACTGAAAGACGTCTATAGCTACTATGGAGATGTAAACATAACTTTTCTGCTGAACGGCTCTAGTTCCTTGTTTAAAAGCATGAGTGATGTAAGATATTGAATATCACATGCTGACAACTTCCTAAACCAGAGGCTGTCCGTCATTGAACATAATTACTTCATAATACTAAACTCAACACCACTCTTTGGTTGCCAAAAGAAAAAAGAGAACAGGAAAAGATGCCTCTCTTTCCTTTCATAAATTTTAAGAACCAAAAGATAACTTCTATACCAGCATAAGTCAAGTTACAAATCCATTCAAAAATGAAATGTTTAACTTTTTATTCCAGGTCTGATGCATACAGAACAACCATAATTGAAAGCTTTGAAATCAATTATTGGCACCAACTCATTTTCAATTGATCAAGATTCAAAATATCGTACACTACTTAAATTTTAAATCAATGGTATAAACAGATTCCATGTACTTCCAGCACTCAAATAACTAGTCTATTAGTTAAGACCAGAAGGGTAAAGACTTATCATTATCTCAATTATATATAACTATATGACCAGTATGAGAGTCTTGCTTTTTCTTTTTAGGGTCTTATTTTATATTATCTAATTTAGCTCACAACTTTTTTTAAACCATCAAAAGTAAAACTTGAACCCTTCTGATGATGTAACCAATGCTATAGGAGCCCTCACAGCACATGCCTTCTGATCACCTGATGGGTAATTGGTCTGAAACCAGAACTATAAGCTCCATTTGGGCTGCAGCAGAAGAAAATATCACTTATTAGTAATATTATGTATCTCCATATGACTAAAAAAAAAAAACTAAGACACCTAGATTGACTTATTCTTTTAGCTGATTTGCTCCGAAGTACAAACGTGCAGCATATCAAACATTGTTGACAATAAAAAAATGTAAATAAAATAGTCAAAGATGGCTTTTACAGCTCTCAAAGCACATGGATAAAAAGTGTAACCTAGTGGAAAATGCAGGGTCTGGAGAAGGCTGGATGTGCACAGGCATTACCCATAATTCCAAAGAGGTTTCTGTGACTCAAATCCATGATACAAGGCCACTTGGAACAAACCATACCATTACACCAAGGAACATTCTCTCTCAAAATACGTGGATAAAACAAATCAATACGAATGAAAAAGGCAGGCTTTGAAAAGCCATCAGCGAATGTTGACTGAACAAGTTAATAGTGCAATCGAGAACATAACGGTTGGAAACCACTGCTCAACGTCATCAACATATTACTGATTAGAGTCAATTCAACAGCCAATAATAGGTCCCACAAAGATAGGTGCAAAAGACGAAGTTAGAAGCAACCTATTTTCAAAAGTTCAATTTTAAAAGTTCTTAACTATTTGAGGATGCAAAAACAAGGCAGCATGGAACTCATAAGCTTGAAGAACCATATTAAAAAAAAGAGACAGAACCTTCTGTAGTCAGGAATTCCACATTCTGTGCTAATTCCAGCTCCTGTCAACACCATGAGCTTGGTACTGCAAGATAGTAAATAAAAGATAAAGGAAAACCGATAAAGACAAATATTCAACATATGCAGTCAAAAATATAAATCTTTTCCAAAACAGAAGAAAAGCTTATATGCAACAAAGAACACAGAATTCAAACCACATAGATGAGGGCATCTGATAGACCTTTGATAAAAAAACTGATACAAAAGGTTGACATCTTGCATGCTAGGAGGATCTGAATCAGGAATCAACTTCTTGTCCCTCAAGAAGCTCGAAGGCACTTTTTCTTCCCTCGTTGATGAGGTACCTGGGACAGATATTCGACATGAAGTTTGGACAGAAATGACTCTTCTTCTACTACTCGGTAATTGCAAATTTGCACTACTTGATCGAACAATATCTGTATATATAAAAGAGATTTCAAGAAGACAGAATCAATCATATATTCAGATACACCATACTTGCAGAGTAACAAAGTTAGAGTTACTAATACTGTAAACTTTGGTATTTAACATGCCCACACTTGCCTGTCATGATATTCCCCAGCAATATTCTAGCAGTTCTGCAACTCTGGAAATTAAAAGTAAACAATTTTGTTTCGTCAATCCCAGCTGAAATTGAACAAAATGCTGAGGGCAAACCAAATGTCTGCTTCCAAAAACTAGTAAAGAATATTGATTTCACCGCAGAATTGCTAAAACAACATTACGAAATAATTTTGCATTATGTGAGCTTCAATTTTGAACAACAACAATAAGAAGTATACTCAAGATGTCTAACATCTTGAACAAATTATTGAAACCTCAACTTCTTTTGTACAAGTATACTCAAAATATCCAACATGATTATATTTCATATGTCTTCTCAAATTTTCTTGAATACCCAACATGATTACTGTTTCCCATTTTACTTTTCATGGTCACCTCTAATCATAATTTACAAAAGAAAAAAAAAAGGAACTAGAGAAAACCCAGAAATGTACAAAAATCTAAAATATATAAGTGCAAGTATGACAGCTAAAAACAAAGTAAAGAAACAAAATGAAAGGAAGGCGAAGAAAGTGAAAGGGCAAAAGGACTCACGGAAGAGCAGGGTAGGTGGGAAGGCAAGCGCATGAGCATGGCCATCGTTCCAGCTTATATTCAGAAATATAATTTGTTGTTGTTTTTATTTGAATTTGATGTTTCTATTTCTGCTCTAGGATATGAATGAATGAAAATGGAAGGTGGAGGTTTGCGTTGTTATTTTGGGTTTGATATTGATCTGGGCGCGTTTATCATTGGACTCATCGGTCATCAACTCATGGTTTCTCTTCATGTTTTCGGTCTTTCCTTCGCTTTGTCCACGTTGCCTACTTCTGCACCGTTTACACAAACACAACAAGAGTTTTTATCATAAGGCTTATTATCACAAAAGGTCCCTAAGGTTTAGGAAACTATCAGATTGCATTCTTAATGTTTTTTTGTGTCATTGGTGGTCCTCAAGGTTAGTATGTGTAATCACAAATGGTCCCTGCCGTTAGGTTCCGTCAAAAACTCCGTTAGTTTGCTGATGTGGCATATATATATATATCACAAAACATCCCTGAGGTTTACACATCTATCACAAATGGTCCTTGCAAATTTTTTTAATTTTTTTCATTTAAAAGTCATAAAATTTTGGTTTTCTTTTTTAAATCTTATGAATTTTAAATTATTTTAAAATATACATTGTATTTTAAATACACATGACACTATATTATTTTAGATGTGGGCTCCACATATATGCATATATGTCACATCAAGTGGGCTCCACATATATGTCACATCAACAAACTAATGGAGTTTTTAAAAATTAATTTAAAATTCATAAAATTTAAAAATGAAAAAAATCAAGGGTTTAGGGTTTATAAATGGTCCTCAAGGTTAAAATCCTTATATAAATGGTTTTTTCATTTTTAAATTTTTTGAATTTTAGATTATTTTTTTTAAAAAAACTTCATTAGTTTGTTGGTGTGGCATATATGTGGAGCCCTCATCTTCAAAAATATAGTATCATATGTATTTAAAATACAATATATATTTTTAAATATTATAAAAAACAAAAACAAAATTTTATGAATTTTAAATTAAAAAATTAAAAAAATTTGCAGGGACCATTTGTGATAGATGTGTTAACCTCAGGGATGTTTTGTGATATGTATATATGCCACGTCAGCAAACTAACGGAGTTTTTGACGGAACCTAACGGCAAGGACCATTTGTGATCACACATACTAACCTTGAGGACCATAAGTGACACAAAAAAACATTAAGGATGCAATCTGATAGTTTCGTAAACCTTAGGGACCTTTTGTGATAATAAGCCTTATCATAAATAGCCAAAAATTAACCCCTAAATTCATAAATGTCAGTTTTTATAAAAACTCTCAAATATAGCTAAAACCCCATTTAAATATACGAAAATGCCCTTCAAATTAAAAATCAAATAAATCTACATTAAAAAAGGAAATAAATTAAATTTTTTAAAAAATGCATCTATAGCTTGTATCGCTGATCATGAATCACAAATATAAATAAAACAAATCATTTTGACCTTCCTTGAATTGATACAAAGAATGTCTGATCTGGAAGAAGGCACACCATTGTTCCATAGTTATAGCCAAAAATTAACCCCTAAATTCATAAATGTCAGTTTTTATAAAAACTCTTAAATATAGCTAAAACCCCATTTAAATATACTCAAATGCCCTTCAAATTAAAAATCAAATAAATCTACATTAAAAAAGGAAATAAATTAAATTTAAAAAAAACTGCATCTATAGCTTGTATCGCTGATCATGAATCACAAATATAAATAAAACAAATCATTTTGACCTTCCTTGAATTGATACAAAGAATGTCTGATCTGGAAGAAGGCACACCATTGTTCCATAGTTTCTTAGTTTCATCCCTAAGTTCTAAGTATAAAATGAAAAGAAAGCATGTGGAAGAAGGCACATCATTGTTCTATCCATCACGAGGGACTATTACCTCGTGAAGGCGGCAGTGTGAGGAGGTCTAACATGGTTTGCTTCTTATTTGGGGTTAATGGAACACCTCTAACACCAGCAAAAGCAGCAATCAGAAGCGGTGATACTGCAAGTACAGTCTGCAGATCAAACTTTGGGGAACAAAGTACTGTCTCCCCAAATTCCTCTTCAAGTTTCTTATAAATCTCTTTGTCACTCTTCCCATCATGAATCTCAACATGAATTAAGTTTATAAGCAAGATGGCAATATAAGCTTGTGAAGCAGAGAAGACACATCGAATAAAAACTGATATGGTGTGAACAGATGGTCCTCATGGAGATGAACTATGTTTTTAGGTTATTTAAATTTTGACTCAAACAACGAAAAGGGAACCTTTGGTCCCTTGGCCTCGTTGGTCCGGTTTGTTCCTCATAGGGTGCAAGTTGGATTGGATATTCAAATTATGACTGATTTTGATATGAAATTTCTGATTTTGGCGAGTCCAAATCAATTCCGACATAAATTTTTCAAAAATATTTGAATTGTAATTGGTATATATTCTGAATTCTGAAATATATTAGGGTTTCAAGCTTATATTACACATACTACACATAATAACAAATTTTAGGTTGAACTAAATTTGACTTAATGGCCAAATAGACATATACAAGTTATTTCATAAAGGATAACATCTCAGTAATAACGTATAATAGTTTTTCGAGTTTTGCCTTGTGATTTTTCAGTTTTGAGCCAATTTTAACCTCTCAAATCAATGATCATGTTTAAAATTTTCAACTATTTTCCAAAATTTCCCAAAAATTTCTGAAATATGTAAGTTCTAAAAATGCTGAGTTTTCCAAATTGGAATGGATGTGAAAATTTGAATTTTTTGGATTGGAATTAGAATCCCCTAATTCCAATCCAATCCATCTCAAAGTTAGCCATAGTTCCGCATAACTATCTTAGCATGGACTATGCTTAGGGATTGTCCTGAATTGGCATGGCTTGGTCTAAGCTAGATAAAACTTTTCGCGCTTGTTTGGTAGGCCTCATTGGACTATACTAGCTTAAATAACACCCACAACCCATGTTTGGTGAAACGATTCTTTAAGTTAAATGAGACTATAAAATCTAGGTCCACTAAAAAAGCCTCCTTCATTCATGTGGAACTATCTTAGCATGGAGGTGTTGCTAAATAACAAAGTTGCTCTTTAGGACGAGCGAGTCTACCATTATCCAACTTAGACGCTTGTGCTCTTTCTCTTCGATGTTTCTATGCTCACCTCTACTCACTCAGGTTAGTTGTTCAACTCTTCCTATCTTTGCACTCTTATTCTCTGTCTCTCTTTCCTAGGTGATATTTGATTGGTTCAATATGCTATTTCTTGGTTTGATTTTTAAGTTTTTATTATGTGTTTGTTTGTAGTTAGCTTAATGTGATGTGAATTATGCTAACAATGTATAAATCCCAACCGTCCAAAGTATACATCCCCAGATTCACATCCCACCATTGGAGAAAAAACCTGTTTTACACCTCCCGGAGATGTAAACAAAATATAAAGTGGCTTTACACTCCTAATGTTACACCCTTGCAATGGAGATGCTCTAAGGTGCTTTATAGAAACTTCAGCCAAAAATAAAAAGCCATAAGTTATTTAAATCTTTTAAGGCTTTTTCTTTGTCTAGAAATCATTCTCCTGAGTGATCATGAGACGGTAAAAAAAACATTGGATTGGAATAAGCAATAAATTATTCTGACATTCGAAAATTATGAAATCTGAAAATTACTGAAAAAAATTTGGATTGGAATTGGAATGTATTCCGAATTCCAAAATATATTGGGTTTCAAGCTTAGACTACACATAATGACAAATTTCAAGTTAAACTAATATGTATGTTCCGAAATATGTTTAAAATTTCAATTATTTTCCCAAATTTTCCAAAAAATTCCGAAATATGTATGTTTCGCAAATTCACCGTTTTTCGAATTGGAATGGATGTTGAAATTCTGAAATTTTTTGGATTGGAATTGGAATCCCCTGATTCCGATCTTATCCATAGGAAAATCAAGTATAGTTTCGCATGACTATCTTGTTATAGATTATGCTTAGGGACTGTCCTAAATTGGCTTGGCTTGGTCTAAGCTAGATAAAAAATTTGGGCTTGTTTGGTGATGTGCATTTAAACCAACCTAAATATTAGATCATTTTAGATCAAATTAAAACTCTCGCAAGGGCATGAACTGATTTATAATATAGTGTGATACAATTATGAGTATCGTTCCCATAGAGATTAGTGATCAATTCTAGTTTTTTAACCTAACCTAATGCATGACTCTGTTTATGGATTTTCAACTTATGACCCAACTAAACTAAACAAACAAACAAAACAAGAACACTTAAACAAGTAAAGCGAAATAGAGAAGTGTTTTGTAGCGGAGCTTAAACCTAAACTACAATTAAATAAAGATGCAATTAAAACGAAAACAAATTAATCAAACAAGAAAAAGCAAAGCAATGTTTAAAGATAGCGTTATAAGTCGATTATGATAATTACTAAGGCATCAGATTCTACCACTAATTCTATTGCCCAAGTTTCTAGGATGCAAGTTAACAAATTCAACAAATTTAATTGATGAACATTCTGTGCCTAAGTCCTTCTTAGGACACTAAAGCCAAGTTTCCCTAATTTAAGATTACTATCCATATTAAGGCATAGGTCTAATATCCCTAAATGCAAATCACCTATGTTCAAGACAACTCTAGCAACCTATGAATTCATTAAGTTCAATGGAAATAAGGAATCAAACAAACTAAGTATTGTATTAAGACTACTATGTATTTGCTATCCTTAATTTGTATGAGCTAAATGAACATGCAATGTATTAAGCCTACACACAACGCACAAATAGTCTGGATGCAAGTCTTAAAGGTTGGAAATCAATAGAACTCAAACAAGTAAAACCAAATAAATTGGAGATTAAGAATTCATCAATCAAATTCAGAACTTAAATTAACTTAGCATCCAAAACCATGAATAATAAAATTAGGGCATCATCCTAGCCTTAGGTAGATATAGTCATAAATAACACACAAGAAAAACATAGAGAAAATAAGAAGAACTGAAGAATAAGGTGGTGACAGCAAGGTGGATGATAGCTGCTCCAAGCTTCTCTCTCAATTGAACTAATTTGGGGCTGAATGAGTTCTCCTTGAATAAGAGGTGTATCCCTTGCTTTTATAGAGGGGAGGAACGTCTCTTCTTTCTCCTTATTTGGCTTGGAAGTAGCTTTTCTAACTTTCCAAACGAAACCCTAGGACAGCTAGGCAAAGTTGCTTGGGATGCA